CGTGGGTTTCCTTCCTCGCCCCGCGTGCGCGGTCCCGGCCGGTGGTGGCGGCGGCGGCGGGCATGCTTTCCCGGTTCTCCCTGCCGGTGGCCCGCTTGTCTCGCTACAAGGAAAGGTATTTTAAGAGAAGAGCAAGGATTTGCGCTTCTTTAGCAGAGCCCCCTGTGAGCCAGCCAGATCTGGAGGGGATTTTGTTTGTCAAAATACCGAACCAGCCCCTTGGAAGGGATACTTTTTTTGGGCAAAGTGAATGCCACTCCTGCTGTAGGCTGTACGGTATATAACACAGTCCGTGTTCTCGTCCCTGCCTATTTGCATAACCACCAGTCTAGTTTGCTAGACTGATAGGTAAAAGACAGAAATGCAATAAATTAATTTCCAATAGAACAGGGGGTTTAAGGTGAGTGGAAGTCACTACAGAAGTAGAATTTCAATTATGTTTTTCTGTTGAAAAGAACTAATACAGAAGTAAATTTATGTTACAGCTTACTTATGACCCTTTTGCGCTCAAGCTTTTACAAGCACGAATATTGAAAAGAAAATGAATGTTAAGTCTCAAGACCAAAACATGTGATAATAGGAAATGTCAGTTGTGGTTTAGATTTCAAAATGTATGGTGCGTGTAATGTTGTTTAGTTACTGCATTCGCAAAACAGAGGGGATACTGTGGTTATATGTAATTAATCACAAAGCCCAAATAGCACATCTGGGATATTTGTGATAAATAGTTTATTCTTTAATAACCTGTAGCCCAAGAAATGCTCACTGGAGACAGTTGTAAATAACTCTGTGTAACAGATACTATGGAAATTTAGTGATCTGGTTTTAGAAAGTGCATGAATAGAAAAAAAAAAATTTATCTAACACATTTTTAATGGCAATATTTCCATTTGGTTAAACTGCTATCATAAGGAAGTGGATTTTTTTGTTGTTAGTTAGCCCATTCTAAGTATCCATCTTTTGTCTTTTACTTTCGGGAAATGTGCCCAGGAAGTAATAAATGGGATATTTATAATAGCCAGGCAGAGGCAAATGTTCTAGAAAGATGGGAGGCTGAAAAATTTCTAGATTTGTTAGGTGCGCTGGTTGCCACAGTTGAAGCCGTTGTATTACATTTCCATT